ATTGCTTGCAATGATTTGTAGGTGTTTTAATTCTTTAAAAGCGTTTCTGAAAACACAATTACTGTTCTGAAGTGAAATTGTGCTAGCTTTTAAGATAAATGTTGGAAATGGTGAGCAAAAAAGGCATGTATTTCCTGCCTTACTGTCTTAGGTTGCAAGATACGTGAAGACAGAGCTCGATACCCGACTGTTCGTTCTACTAGTGCTAGGCTCAATTTGTGGAAGTAGGGTGCAGGCATAACCCAAGCTTGCAAAATGTCTGAATCTGCCTGAATTAGCTCTTGTGCAGTGGTTAGTAAGCCTTGATGAAAATTGGCGTTACAGTCAACGTTATTAGCAAATACGAAGCCTGACCATAGTCACACAACGCTTCATCAGGCTGGCTGCTGTGCTGTGTCGTATCGTCTGCCTCGCTGGGTCAGGGATTTGTGTGCTGCCCTCCACTTCCACGGTAGAGGCGCTTGAGTATCCTTTTGTCTTTTGCACGGTTTCCCCACCGAGGCATCCTGTTCCCAATATGAACTTCTGGGATTTTTCAAAGACGAGCTACAGGAATCAATGATAGTTACTGCCTGCAGCAAGATTTATTTCTTTGACTTATATGCCCCCCAAAATTATATTTCAGAATGAAAAGTAAAATGACTGCTTTCTCCTAGTGCTGGAATTAGACTGGATACCAGGGTCTAATTCATCTTCTCTCTGCTTTTATTTTCCTTTTTAACAGAAGGCAGCAGGAGACTGGTCATTTCTCCTAGTTCTCCTTTGGGCCCTTCTGCTTTGATTCTCTGTTTCTCACTTTCTCTGCAAAAAAGAGCAGTGGAAGTAGTGAAGTGAGATCTAGGAACTCCATTTACAGCACAGTCATCCCATGACAGACTAGGGGAGCTACTAGAAGGAGAGAACAGGTAATGCCGTCTACTCATGAGAGATTTACAGTTTGGAGGCAATGACGAGGGGATAAATAGTAAAGGAGCTGCCCACAGCAATTGCTTTCAACAATGTGACCTCAGAAACAAAACTGAACCACCTTGTTTTGTTGCCTTGGTGGAGGAATATATACACCTGGCACAGCACCCATCTCTTGGCTGTCAGGAATAACACATGATACCCCTGCTGAAGATCGTTCATCATTTTCATAGCACAATGCATTCTGCTGCTGCGAGGTGGCAGTGGCTGTGGGGGTCTCACTCTGAACACTCTTAAATACATGCCCTAGACTGCTATAGGTGTCTTTGAAAGGTTGAAAGCTTTACTCTCAAAAAGTATTTTTGTCAGCCAGGGAAAAAGGCAATTTGGGGCCTGTATACTGATTCTACAGCTGTGAAGAGATTCCATGGGAGATTACAGAAGAAACAGCTGGACAGAAGAAACATTAATAGTAAACACTTATTCTGAAGAATGGGAGGGGAAGGAGAGGATTCTTTCCAAGGAAAAAGGCAGTTTATTTGCATGGCCATTTTTTGCCTTTTTTTTTTTTTTCCCTCATTTTCCACAGCTTTAAAAATTAGAAGTGAGATCAGTGCTTTTTTTGTCCAAAAACGTGAGTCTGTTTTACTGCAGCTAGTGGAGAATCTTGGTGCATTGATGTATTATTAAAATTTATGTAAGTGGTATCAGCAACACCATGCTGGCAGCATTAACTCAGACAAGGGGAATACTTCAACCCCTCCAGAATTAGATTAAAAAAAAAAAAAAAAGTAGGCAAAGTGGTGTTGAATTGTGGGTTTTGAAGATAGCTTTTTGGCACCTACGTATCACTTTTCACATTAATCCAAACTTTTCTTAGCACGTACAAGTGACACATACCTCTGTTTCTCATGACCAGCTTGAGAGTGCTGTGGCCTTGTTTTCTGCAAGTGAACTCAAAGGAGGTTATGGATGGTCAGTGGGCTGTTTCTAAAGTTAGGTGAGCAGACAGATGGCTGACAAAATCTATGACCCTGCCCTCCTTTTTTATGTGCCTTGGAGCAAGTATCTGTGGTGGTGGTGGTGGGGGGGAGGGGGTTCACTCAGGGAAGCCGGATATTTTAATGCTAAGCTATTTCACAGCCAGAGAGTAGAACTAATAACATCTACATCAGGCACCCTGTCCTATGTATGCTCAGTGAGATCTGGAGCTCACTGAAAGGAAATGCTGATGGAAAGGGGTGTCTCACCCTCAGCTGCAGAGAGACACCTCCTTTCACTGCTGCAGTTAGCAGAGAGGTTTAAACATGGGCCTCCTACAAATGTCTGGTACATCTTGAGTCCCGTTGTTTGCTCGGTGACTTTGGAAATTTGGAATCAGACCTATAGATGTTGCTCATCAAGTCCAGTCCTCTCCAAGATCTGGCTCTCAAGCAATAAATACTTGTTCAGAGTATCTCTCCCCCATGACTCTTTGCTTCCAAGCCCTCCTCAATAGCATGTAGTGCTGACCTCCAGCGCTAGAGGAGGAGCCACATTGTGTTCCTGCTCTATGCTCATCCCCTCCTGGCCATGTACTGTCTGTCATGCTAACTTAGGTCTCTTGAGCGCCAAGGTGTTGCCAAATGGCTGGCCAGTGAGTGACTAACCTGGCAGGGCTCTGCAATCTCAGTGAGGGCTTTTAAATCCTTCTGTAAGCCAAATCTTCCTGATCTGTATTTCACAGTTTGGGTAGTGACAATATTCTGTTTCTGATTTTGCATAAAGACTATTTTCCCATCTTTTGCATTATGCTTCACTCCAGAGAAAGACTAATTCTAAGTTCCTTAAGATCAGAGAGGCAGACCCTTTGCAAGGAGACCAACTGAGCTGCAAGGACTGCAAGGCTAGCAGCAACCTATAGCTTCTGCATTTACTTTCTTACGCAGTCACGCTTAGTCTTCATCCACACTCCTCGTTCTTTCCTTTCCACTTTATTATTTGTTTATTTACCTCTGATGTATTGTCCAGCATGAATGTCTACATGAGCTATTACAACACCACGCTGAAAGACTGTGCCAGCTGAAAACAAGTGCTGAGGTAACTGCTGTGGCACATTGCTCAGGGATACTGGAGCTTGCTGGGACTTACTCACAGAGGCTGTCATGAGTTAACCTCCTACAGCCCAAGGGGAAGGAAGCTGTCTAATGAGTAGTAGAGAACAGGCTCCTGTGTCTTGGTGCTTTGAATCACTTCCTGAAGGAGCCTCATGTTCTCTTTGCTTTGACTGGGGTTAAAGTAGCCTTCGTGAGTCCTCTGGGATGGGGTGCCTGTATGTTGTGTTATAATGCACGGCGCAGCCCTCCTGTATAGCCCCGACTCTGGAGGCCCAAGGTGCTGGGTGTTGTCCTGCCTGGAGGTTGCTGTTCCTGCTCCCTGAACAGCCTTCTGCGAATCCTAGAGCTAGGTGTCCTGGCTCCTCATGCAAGGCAAAGGGGAGCAGTGGACATGCAGGGAAATGGACCACCAGAACAAAGCGGGGAACCAATGCATTAGAATGAAATGGAGAGAAAAATTGGCCCAGCGTTTGATGTGCTACACAGCTCTGGCACCAAGGGGCTGCTTTTACTCAGGATCTCAGTGGGGAAACATCTGAAATTTGGTGCCTGTATGAGCTCGTACGCTTGACTAGATGTCTGCATGAACATAAGTAACATCTGTGAATGGCTAATGTGTGCTGATTAGAAGGCTGGCCTGGAGTGTAGGAGATGCTGTTCCAAGTCCCTGCTGGGAGTGAGAGAAAAAGAAGACAAGCACCTCTCTCCCCAAGAGGCCTGGTGAATACTTCTAGCATCGGACATGTTTTTCTGCTGTCAGGCTTTGGCATAAGGGCTGTGCTGCCCTTCCAGTGCCCACAGGAGCCTGTGTCTGCCTCTCTTGGAACTCGACAAGCGTCAGATCTTCTGTGCGCTCAGCGCATCAGGTCCCACTGGCAGGACAGGCACTCTCCTGCTTAGCTTCTGACTCCTAGATTTGGCTTGAACTGCAAACTTTAGACTAGACAGGCTGATTTCATGACCAAGGCAGCCATTTAGTATCAACTGCCAGAAACCAAGCCATATAAAGGCTGAGGTGGCAACTGAGCAACATTGAAGAATATGCCTAGTAGCTGAATAACGGCTTTACATTTTTGGTCAGGCAGACTGGGGACCTGACCCATGTTATGTGTGTAAATTAGCTAATATCTGATTGGGATTCTTTGTTGAGAAAACAGCAGAAATTCTCAGACACAAAGGCAATGGCCCAGATACAGGCCAGATGGCTGTAAGCAGCCCTAGTCTGAATTAGGGATGGGGATCAGTTCTGCTGTCTGCCACTAGAGTGTGATCCAGCATCTAAATTACTTGCTCAGACCCTGCTCTGCAAATGATGGATTTTTTTTTTTTTAACTGCTCTAGTAATTCCATTCTGTAGCTTTTAACTTCAGTATTTTCAGTTTAGCACTGACAGTTCTGACAATTTTTCAAAGTCAGAA